GCTTGGGAAGCGCAGGCCCAGGAAGCACAGCAGTTATTCAGGGTTTGAAGTTCTCCGAGTCCTGGCCTGACCAGCATATCCACACACTCGAAACAGTAGCAGCGGGTGCAGTCAGGGTTTTCACAGATGAGCAGCGTCTCGCCGAGCAGCAGATGGAGCAGTAGGACTGGTACCCATCATTGTCATACAGGAAGAGGGATTCCAGGAACTTGTTCTTACAGGAAACACACATGCCTCCCTCAAAGAGAGGGTGTTCTGTCCAGACCTGGAAGCTCCCACAGCAGTTGCAGATGTCTTCCATGGGTCTCTGCTCAACCCTGACTTCATGGGCAATAAGATCTCTGTCAAGTTGGGGTGAAGGATGTGACAGCTCGTTGGAGTCCACCGGGATGACATCCATGGTCTGGTCCTCCAGGTCCAGGACTGCTAAAGGGACCCTTCCAGATGGAGGAGTTCTTGTCTCTTCTTTTCGAAACCGGGCCTGGTGTCTGCGATGAGTGGCTGCTCTTACCAAGTTCATTCAGACTCATGGAGCCAGGGTCCTAGAGGACAGTGTAGAACTGCCCTTGTGAGTCTCCGAAGCCTTCAATGGTCACAGGAGTAGAAAGCTCCATCGTTCTCTTGCAGACGAGTGGCGGTTTCGAACTGCTGACTTGGCTTAGCAGCCCAACGAGTAATGGACTATGCCACCATAAGAGCAGACACTCTCAGTTATGATTCAGGGGCCAGGTCCAAGCAGAGAGCACAATTCTCACTTTCAAAGAGCTTTCTGGGGGTACTTCCTGTAAGACAGATTTGTTCCTTTTTCTGGAAGCCCATGATATATTCAGAATTTTTCCACCAACGCCATAATTCAAATTCTCTGGTCTTCCTTATTGTCTAGTTTCATCTGCGTCGAGCCATACACGAGGTTGAAAGGACCCCACTCTTCCACATCCCACCTCACAATGTTGGTGACATCGTCCAGGTACTTCAGGTACCTGTGGTCTGAGCCTCCTTCCAAAAAGCCCAGGCTCACAAGCTTTCTGGATGTCCCCAAAAAGGGACAGCACCTGGACTGGCTCTATCTTCCACGCAGTCACTGTCTTACCCATCTCAAAAGGACTCTCCTGTTTCGTCTCCTGGTAGTAGAAAGCCTTCAGGCGATCTGCTGTTTTCTCCTTCGGTGCAGCAG